TCCTCTGCTGCTGCTTACTCTGCACATCTCCACATCCCCCACCATCCTGGCTCCCAGCTACCGTCTGTGGCGACACCCTGCCCAGACCCAGGGGCCACTGGGGCCGAGGGGTTAAGAAGCCTTGGTGCCTGCCCAATGCTGAGCGGGTCCCCCTAGCTCTAAGCACTTGGGGCCCCTAATGGTGTCCCCAGCTCGCCTTCGCACCTCAGACCAGCACTGTAGTCCGCCAAGGCAATGATGAGGTTGAGGTGGGAGATGCCACGGAAGGAGCAGAGTGTGGCCAAGGGGGCACCAGGGGTGGGTAGCCCGGGAAAGGGGTGGGGGAGGCACCGGGCACCCTACAGGGCCTGGGCTTTGGAGGTGGGGGTGGAGACAGAGTGCCACAACCCCCATCCACCGTTAACTCATGGCATGACTCCTCTCCTGCGCTCTGCCTGTTTCCCCCATCAGCCTTAGAGTGTGACAGAGTGAATGAGAAAGTGGGAGGCACGGATCCAGCCAGCCAGTTTGGGGATTCTGGCAGGGAACCCAGCACGTCTCTACATTGTCCAGGCCCTGGCTGGCCACTCCTTGCCCTGCGTCTTGAGACTTGTCACCTCCGAGGGCCCGACTCTTTCATTTTTGGACGGACTCAGCCCTGATGCCCCTGGGCATGAGCTCTGAGGTCAGGCAGATGTAAACGTGAATTCCCGTTATGTGCAAGTGGCTTCCCTTCTCTGAGCTCAGTGCCTTCATCCGTAAGACACGGGGATGAGCCTCACGAGGCTGGAGGGGCAGTAAAGGGGCGCATGAGTGGCATACAGCAAGCCCTCAGCCAATGGGAGCGGCCGCTGTTACCTGACCCCATATTTTCTTGAAGTAATCATACCGAACTGGGATTCAAGCAAAGTATTTTCTTGGCTGTTACACCATGTAATCCTCACAACAGTTGGTGATATCGGGACAGATGATCCCAGTTTATGGAAGGGAATGGGATGACTGAGGCCAAGCACAGAGAACTTTCCAGAACTCACAGGTAGAACTGGGAGTTTCTTCTGGGGTGGTCCTGGCTTCTGGGGGTGGGGTGAGAGGGAGTCCGAACAGCTGTGGGACTCTTGGGAATGGCCGAATGGGAGCGAATGTGACACCCAGGACATCCACAGTGGAGACCCACGATTCCAGAGCCAGGGCCTTCAGAGTGTGGACTGTGGGGTTGAGGGGGCACCAAAGCCCCAGACCTCTGTGCCTTGCAGCGTCTGTAGGGGAGGCTGAAAGTGGGCTCAACTTCGGCAGGAGATGTGCCTGAGCCCAGACCCAGGTAAGGCCTTGGCCTTGACCACGGCTTACAGTTAGTTCCAACTGTATCAGAACCTCCAACTGCTCTCAGTTCCCTGGTTAGCTTGCTGTTGGGACTCCAAATACCATTGCACACCTCCTCTCCTCAACACCCACTCTGGGATCCAAGCCCCTCCCCCCCACTTTCCACTAACCCTTCATTCTCTCATTCGTTCATTTACTATTCACATAGCAAACATTGATTGAGTACCTACTGTATGCCAGGCACCACCCCAGCTAGGATACAAGGAAGAAGATAGGCAACACTGTCAAAGTGTAGAGTTGAAGCAGAGACTCCGGGGCCAGGCTCCCTGGGTTCAAACCCCAGCTTTGCTGCTTTTCAGCTGTGTGACCATGAGGAAGTTACATGTAACCTCATAACCTCTCTGAGCCCCAGTTGCCTCAACTGTAAAATAGGCCTAAAAGTTGTGTCTCCCCATGGGGTTGGGGTGGGGACTCAATGCCTTAATACAATGTTAGAAGAGCACTTGGCAAATAGTAACTGTGCTGTGTGTTTGCGACTGTTAGTCTAGTGGGGGAGGCAGAAAATTAACTGTAAACAAATACATGAAATAATTGCCGATCACGGCTGGTGTTTTGAAGGAAATGACTGTGGGTGGAGGACTCTCTGTGGGGTAGTCAGAAGGGCCTCTCTGTAGAGGTGACTGCTTGAGGGTGATGTTGAGGGGATAGAGGGAGCACGAGCAGGGAAAGAAAGAGCTTTCCAGGCAGAGGAACCAGCAAGCGAGAATCCCTGAGGTGGAAAATGGTTTGGCAGGTGTCAGGAACACCAGAAGGCCTGAGAGGCGGGAGATCGGTGGGTGAGGAGGAGGACGATAGGACAGGTCGGAGAGACCAGCAGGGCCTTACGGACCACAGAAAGGAGTCTGGCTTTTATTCCAGTGTGGTGGGCAGGCACAGGAGGTGCTTTTGTTTTTGTATACAGAAGTGGATCATGCATGCAGAAATGCATGCAAACTGCAAGTGTCCCATGCTGGGAATTTTCACAAAATGAACACACCCAGGAGCCAACACCAAGATCAAAACCAGAACATGAGGGGCGCCTGGGTGGCGCAGCTGGTTAAGCGTCTGACTCTTGACCTCGGCTTAGGTCATGATCTCAACAGTTTGTGAGTTCCAGCCCCAAATCGGGCTCTGTACCGATGGTGTAGAGCCTGCTTGGGATTTTTGTCTTTCTTTCTCTCTGCCCCTCCTCCCGCTTGTGCTGTCTCTCTCTCTCTCTCTCTTAAAATAAATAAATACGGGGGCGCCTGGGTGGCGCAGTCGGTTAAGCGTCCGACTTCAGCCAGGTCACGATCTCGCGGTCCGGGAGTTCGAGCCCCGCGTCGGGCTCTGGGCTGATGGCTCAGAGCCTGGAGCCTGCTTCCGATTCTGTGTCTCCCTCTCTCTCTGCCCCTCCCCCATTCATGCTTTGTCTCTCTCTGTCCCAAAAATAAATAAACGTTGAAAAAAAAATTTTTTTTAATAAATAAATACGTAAACTTAACAACAACAACAACAACAACAACAACAACAACAACAACAACAAAACAGAACATGAGGAGCCTCCCAGAATCCCCTTAGGCCCTCCCAGCCACCACCCTCATGGTAACCGCCATCCTGACTGCCAACAACAGAGAGTAGTTTTGCCTGGTTTTCTTAAATATATAAATGGAATAAGTAAATGGAATTATACAGCATGTGTTCTTTTGTGTCTGGCTTATTTCACTTGACACTATAAGCACCATTCACCACCACCTGCGGGTGAAATTCATCCACCTTGTTGCAGGTGGTGGTAGTTTTTCTCTCCCTTTGCTACACGTCTGCCATGTGACTATACGCCCCCCCCCCGGGCATTCACACACCGGTTGACAGGCACTTGTGGTTCCTGACGTTGGTGCACTGTGCATACGCTTTGCTGCCCGAGGAAGGGTTTAGCATGAAATTTACAAGACTTCTTACCAAGTTCAGGGCACTTCCTGCATCAGCCTGGAGGGCTGACACCAGAACCAGACCAGCCTCAACTTCAGCTTTCTGCGGCTCCCATAGAAGCCCAGAAATGGGCTTGATGATGTATCTAACTCACCACACCCGCCCAAACGGGAACCCTGTCATTCCACAGGCTTGGGTGATCTCACCTGGAAAATGGGCTCAATCATTCCAAAGCTGCAGCTGAATGTGAAGATTAAGTTAAATGAGAAATGGCAGTGAAAGCCCACCGCCCAGTGCCTGGTACCTACCTCCAAGGTCATAAGTAATGCCCTGCCTCTGTTTTCTTCCAGACCCAGAAAATAAGCAAAAACCAAGGGCGCCTCCTGTGGATATAAGTGAAACTGCACCCCTGGCTTCCCAGGGTCAGGCCTTGCAGGCCAAGGAAGCCCACTCCCCCATAAGGCCGGCATAGACCCGGCTCCTACTGAGAGGAGTGCCCACAGGTTGCTCTCAGCCCTTAAGTCCCAGACGGTAGATGATCCAGGAACCACTGCTGCCTTTACACACTTGCTACCTGCTGTGGAAATGGTGTTCAGAGTGAACGGTCAAGAAAGAATTCTTGAGATGTCTTCGGTGCAAAAAGGTGGTTTTATTAAAGCATGGGGACGGGACCTGTGGGCACACAGAGCTGCACTGGGGTTGTGAGGAGCGACTGATTATATACTTTCAAGTTGGGAGGGGGTTAGGGTTAGCAGAAGTCTCTAAGGAATTTGAAAGCAAGGTTTCCAGGACCTTGAGGGGCTAGCTGTTGTTAGGGAAAGGTCATTTATTACTGTCTAATAAAACCTTGGTCATGAGACCCTCCAGATGTACATCAGTGGGCCATACGCTTGGAGGATGATTGCTAACATATATCTTGGGGGGTAAAGATAAAGGAAGTTTCCAAAGGAATTTTTTTTAATGTTTATTTATTTTGAGAGAGAGAGAGAGAGAGAGAGAGCACATGAGCATGCACGCAGGGGAGGGGCAGAAAAAGAATCCCAAGCAGGCCCCGAGCTGTCAACCCAGAGCCTGGCACAGGGCTTGATACCACAGATTGTGAGATCATGACCTGAGCCGAAATCAAGAGTTGGAGGCTTAACTGACTGAGCCACCAGGCGCCCTTCCAAAGGAATTTTTATAAGTAGACTTACAGGATCTTGGGGGTCAGAATAATGTTAAGCTGAGATTGCCTTTTGCCCTCAGCAAAGTGTCAACATCGAGGCAGCTGAGCTCCCAAAGGAAGGTCACTCTGTCTTTTTCAAGGACTTGTCTGTGGGTTGTTGGTAGTTAGGAAATGTAAATTTTTTCTTTTGCCTTTGTTTCCTACATCACTCCCTGTCTGAGATCCTTTCTCCTTTCACCTCATCCCAGATCCTCCAGCGCCGGGGGGGGCGCGGGGGGGGGGGGGGGGGGGGGGGCGCCAAGCCTGCTCTCTTGATCACTGTGCCCACAGCACTGGCATTGTGGCACCTGCCCCTCCCCCCCCCACGCGTGCAGCCACTGATGAGTGCGTGCCTCCCTGCCAGACTGCGAGGGTAGGGTGGGACCTGTCCCCCTGTTCCAGGAACATGGAAGATCGCCCACACCTGGCACTCTGCCTAGAGTCCAGCGGGGGCGTCATAAATATCTCCTGAATGATTCATTCATCCCTTTGGGAGAGAAAGCGCGACCTCTAACCGGTTAAGAGCATGGGCTTTGAAGTCACACAGACGTAGATTCAAGTCTTGGCTCTGATCTTTGGCTCTGTGGCCTTGGGAAGGTCATTGGATCTCTTTGAGCCTGTTTCTTCATGTCAAAATGGAGTGACCACGAACCCATTAGATCTTTGTGAAGATTAAGTGAGATGATGTTGGCCTGCCCCACAGCCCAATTATGGTGGGAGGGGTAATTATGCATTCAGGAAAGGGGAAACCTCCCGCGGCTCCATCTACCACCTGTTTTCTTACCGGTTTCTAGGAGGTGCGCAGCATCAGGCCCGTTTAACGGAAAAAGAAACTGAGGCCCAGAAAGGGACCAGGATAGCCCAGCGTGCTGCAGGTTGGGGCTAGAACCCGGACCTGCGTCCAGCGCATCGCCTGTCTCTCCGAGCACCTGGTGAGCACATCCCCACCCCACCCTCGTCCCCTGGCCTGGGAGTGAGGGGCTGGGCTCGGCCTCGGGCGACCCCGCGGGACTGCGGGGCGCGCTTGGGGATCTTCGGCTCAGACCCCGGAAGCGGTGCGCAGCTCGCGGGAGCGGAGAGAGCGCTCGGGGTTGTCGCTTTAAATTAAAGAGGGCGCGGGAGGGGGGCGGGCGAGCGCGAGGGAGCGCGCGGCGGGCTCCTGGGAGCGTGCCCGGACTGCGGCGCAGCTCTCGTCTGCCTCCCCGGCCCGGCCGAGCCCCCGGCCCGCGCCGCGCTGCTCCGAGGCGTGCGCCGGGCGACACTGCAGGGGTGGCGTTGCCGGCGACTGCCGGGCTTGGCGCCGGTGCGTGCGCGCTGCGGGAGGCCGGCCGGGAGCCGCGAGCCAGGAGCCGGAGCCGGAGCGTAGAAGCGGCCCCTCCGCGGAGCCGGGGTGAGTAGCACCCGGCCGCCCCCGACTCCCACCGGGAAGCGGTCCGGCGCGCGGACGCGCGTAGCGCACCCTTCCCGCGCGGCGGACCCCGGCCTCCGCGCACTCTGCGCGTCTGCACACCCGCGCCGCGCTTGCACACGTACGCCGGGCACAGCGCACGCCGGGCGCCCTTCCCCGGCCCGGCCACTCCGCGCACTGCGCATCGCATCGCGCCCCGCACGCCCGTCCCGCGTGTGCACACACACGACTCGCCCGGCCTTTTACACGCCTCCCCGGCGCCCGCGCCGCACGAGCGCCCCTCACTTTCACACTCAGCATCCTGACTGTCCCCACCGCCCCTGGGGCATACCCGCTCGCGACTCTCCCGGGTCAGACCACCCCCGCACATCGCTCCCCAGATACCCTAGGGGTTCCCGCGGCAGGGGTGCTGGGTCTTCGGGAAATGCTCTGATCCGGAGAGGCATGTCGCACCCCATCGCAGGAGGCCCTCGGAGCTTGGGAGAGGATCCCCAGCCCGGACCAGTGTCACTGGCCTGCGTGGGGGCTTTCCGGGGGCTCCTGGGAACCCTTGATGCCGCTGCTCTTTGGAAGAGGAAGTTTGCCCTGTCTTGGGCCCTGGGCTATAGATTTGGGTTGAAGAGGGGGTAGAGTAGGGCCGGACATGGGGACCTGGAGCCAGGCCTGTGGGTGGAGGAGCCCTGAGCCAGCCATCCTGGTGACCCTTTTCCAGGGCTGCAGAAGAACTGTGTGCCATGCCGCTCAGTCAGTGAGGCCACTCCAGAGTGACTGGGAAAGCTGCTCCTGGAGCGCCAGCTCCTTCTCCAAGCTGGGGGCAGGGGCAGATGTGGAGAGCAGCAGCAAATGTGCTTCTTACTAGAAATGGGGAAACCGAGCCTCAGGGCAGACAGGAGTTCCAGCCAAGTTAACTCACCAGTCTGGAGAAGAGTCAAGACAAGTGCCCAAACCCCCTGCCCTCTCCACTCTGAAATCCAAAACCTTCCACCTAGCAGCTTGGGAGTGTGGAGGTTCCCAGGCTAGGGTTCAAGTTTGGACTCTGTCTCTTGTCAGCTCTGGTGACACTGGGCAAGTGTCGGTTTTCCTACCAGTACAATGGGCAGAGTAGGAGCCCCCTCAGGGAGAGGCAGCGAGGATTTGCTGAAATAAAACATGGCGAGTCCTTGGTACAGTACTTGGCACATGATAGATGCCCAATAAATGCCAGCCACCACCACCCTAGCTGGTCTGCACTGTGGTTTCTGCGGGCTTTGGGGGGATGGTAGCAGGATGTGATTATTTCAGGGATGGGGGGAGCACTTGAAAAGATCTCAAACCTAAAGATCCTAAAGAGGCTTGCAACCTGGGAGGTTGAGGGCTGCCCTGTGCCCACATCCTATTACCTGATGACCATAGGGTGTGGGGGGGGGCAGTCAACACCTTGCTGGCCACAGACGTGATGTGGGGACACAGTGAGCAAGGAAACGGGGTGGGGGGAACAGAGACATGGGGCCCGTCTTCCCCGAAGAGGCACAAAATTCCTGGAAAGCCATTTCTCTGACAAGCCCAGGAGGGGGCCTCGACTGTGGTCCAATTCCGATGAGGCCAGTGACAGTTCCTCCCACCCACCTCCACCCCCAAAAGGCTTGGTCAGGAGGTGGCATCACGGCCAAGAGCCCAGGCCCAGATCCATCACGCCCTGGCGCCAATCCCAGTGTTGCTACTAAATGCTGAGTGACCTGGGGCTGCAGCTTCCTCATCTATAAAATGGGGATCCACTTACCCAGTCAGTCATCAGGTCTGTATCGTGTGCCTAGTACAGGATAGACACCGTGCTGAGCATTTGGCATATATCATGTCTATGCTTACAGCAGTAGGTAGGTGTTGCCAGGTAGGTCTGATTAAGCCTGGATTCGAATCTAGAGCTCTTTCCAGTGAGCAAACTTCATGCAGTTTCGAGTTTGGGAGATTGGGGCCAGAACGAATAGACTAGGTGGGGAAAGATGCCAGAGAAGGGGCCGTGGATCCGTGGGGCTCGGGTGTGAGATTGGAGCAGCCCTGGCTCGTCCCTGTTGTGGCCCATTTCCTGTGTGTCAGAAACTCGGGAGACTCTGGTCGCGGTCCGCCCTGGCCTCCCGATGCGCCTTGTCAGCGTCCTGTTGCCAGCCAGAGCCACAGCCCCTCTGCCTGGTAGACCCCCAGGCCGCCAGTGGGAGCCTGCTGAGGTGGTAGTCAGTGAGATGGGGTCAGGGGCACTCGGGGATGGTGAGTAAAGCCATTAGGAAGGGCACTTGCTACAGAGCCAGATCTAGTTCAGTCTCAGCTCCCTGCTTACTGGTTGGGTGACCTTGGGCAAATTCACTGCCCTTCTCTGAGCCTCATTTTCCTCCTCTGTGGAATCAGGTCAATAATAGGATATGTCCCATGGGGGTCTTGGGGAAGGTGATGGAAACACATACGTGAAATCCTTGGGGGCTGTGGCTACTAATGGCAGAGGCACTGGTCCGGGCCGCAGACATGGCTTTACCACTGCTGGCATTGTGGCTTTGGGCAAATCACTTGACCTTTCTGAACCTCCCATAGCTCGTCCAAAGGCCTGCTTACCAGTTTCATGAGCAGAGATGCTCCAGGGGCCAGCAGGTTCTGGAAATGAATGGAGGGATGGGAGGTGCCAGACGTGTCCGAAGGGGCAGAGCCCATTCAGCTCCAGCCCCGCTGTTTTGCGGGGGTAGGGGGATACAGACCACTGTCTTCAGATACTTTTAAAGGGAAGCAGTGAATCCAGCTTTTTTTTTTTTCTTTTAGAAATCAATTTTTAATGGGAATTTCCCCAATTTTTAAGACAAATAAAACATACTTTGGGCTGATTGTGAGGCCAATAACCACAGCAGCTAATATTTACCAAGCCAGACTACACTTACCTCTCATTCTACCCTCCTGGTACCCTGATAGGGCAGCCATGAGCCCCATTCTACAGATGGGAAGACTGAGGCTCAGAGCTAGTGAGGGGGCAGATCTGAGATTCAGAGCTGTGCTCAGGCTGCCTGACCCCTCTCCCACCCCAGTTCTCTCCTCCCTCCATTCAGGCAGATGTGCTCTGGTTTCTGCCCCTCCACTGGGGACCACTGCGGGACCACTTGGGGCTTGGGTGTGCTCAGAATCATTCACATCTTCAGTGAAATCACAGCTCCCGGGCAAGGGGTATTACAATGAGGGGTGTAGGGGGGAAGGTGGCAGTGCGATATAGTCTGGGGTCTGAGCTAGACCAGCCCCAGAGGGCTGGGAACCCCTCAACTGCTCTAGGTCTGATACAGCAGATACAGCGTTCTGACCCATGCCGTGTGCACTGGCCACCGTGGTGTACCCAGCCCACGCTAGCATAGCCTCATTCTCGAAGTCAGCTTGTGCCAAGTGAGCAGAAAGAAAGCTGATGGCGTTATTGGATTCCCAGCAAGGCAGAGGTAGGCTGGGACATGTGCGTGCTGGTGAATCCAGACCGTGGTCTGCCAGGAACTAGGGCCACCTTGGACTTGTTCACAGTGACCAGTTGGTCCTGCAGGTTCTTAGGAAAGTTCTGAAACTGTATAGCCCTCCGCAGTAAGGCACAGAAGTTAGGAGTGTGGAGCCAGATGGCCTGTGTTGACTAGTGCTTAGAATCGCTCTCTCAGGCGTAAGGAGTGCTCAGCGAGGTTAACTGTCATCACAGTCTCCTGCCCAGGTCCCAGGAATGAGCCTCTGTTCCTCAGCATGAGTGAAGCGTCCCTGGTTAGCATTTCCCTCCTGTCACCATGAAGGACCCACACCTCACTGGGTCATCCTCTGCGTAGCAAGGAGCTGTCTGAGCACCTGCAGAACTTGGCCCCAGGGCCCTGTCCTGCCCCAGTTCTCCGGGCCTCCTGCCAGGGACTTTGGACAACTCCCATATGTGCTAGATAACTCTGTCTAGACCAAAGCACCCTAACTTCTTGGTTCCAGAGCCACAGACTGGGGGGAACCCCAGGATTCAGGGAAATGTTTACCCTCTGATTTGACCCCAGTCCCAAAGGGAACCCACAGCATGCTCGAGTGGGTTGCAAACATGCTAGCCAAGCCACAGCCCAGGAGTATTTTGCCCTGTGCCTGAACAGTATTTACATTTTTTGTGTGAATTGGTTACATTTAAAAATCAGGAAATTGCACATTAAAAAAATCCAGGAATCTGGCTTTGCTTTAAAAATCCGGAAGGAAGGAAGGAAGGAAGGAAGGAAGGAAGGAAGGAAGGAAGGAAGGGAGGGAGGGAGGGAGAAAGGAAGGAAGGAATACCAGAAGATTGGGACGCCTGGCCGGCTCAGTCAGTGGAGCATGCGGCTCTTGACCTCAGGGTTGTGAGTTTGAGCCCCACACTGGGTGTAGAAATTACTTAAAAGTAAAATCTTTAAAAAATAAAATGAAATGAAAACAAAAAGAACCAGAAGATCCAGCAATGCAGGGTTGGCATCCCCTGGGAACGGAAGAGCAGCGGCTCTTGGGTGGGCAAGCACTCTAGTTGTCACAGGGTGACCTGTTTGCAGCCTCCTTTGCGGGGCCAGGGGCCGTCCCGTCCTTCTGTGCCCCTGGAGCTGGAGCTGAGGCTGATATAGCTCCTCCCGGCCTCCCCTTTCCAGTCCCTTCGAGTATGTCTATGAGACACATTTACTTCTCAGCAACGACAGTAATAAAACTATGAGCAGTCACCTGGGTTCAGGTAATGGCTTGCATGACGCCCGGACCTTTCTAGAACAACCTAGACCTTCCGCGTTCACAAAACTTGGAAGTGGAGGGTGGGGTGGGGAGGAAACCATCCTGAGTAGTGGAAGGACTGATAATAGAATATTGTGGAAATGCAGCCTTTCCTTTGCAATTGAAAGAAAAGCTTTTGAAGTAAGGCTTAGTGAACACCTCGAGGGCCCACGCTAATGAGTGGCAAAGAATCAAAGCCTCCTTGCTGGTCAGCCTGTTGTTGGTAGGATGGAAATGAGGTAGGGGTGCCAGATTTAGCAGATATAATATAAATACAGGATGCTTAGGAACTTTTGAGTTTCAGATAAACAATGAATAATTTTTTTAAGTGTAAGCATGTCCTAAATATTATATGGGACATACTTGTACTAAAAATGAATCAAATTCAAATGTCACCGGGCATTTTGTGCTTTATCTGGCAACCCTGACAGTAAGATGGTCTTAGACTGGTTGAAAAGAGCTTTAAACTCCATTTTTTTAAAATGGTATTTAAGGGTGCCTGGGTGGCTCAGTCACTTAAGCGTCCAACTTCAGCTCAGATCATGATCTCGCAGCCCATGAGTTCAAGCCCCACGTCGGGCTCTGTGCTGACAGCTCAGAGCCCGGAGCCCGCTTTGGATTCTGTCTCCCTCTCTCTGTGCTCCTCCCCAGCTCATGCTGTCTCTCAAAAGATAAATAAACATTAAAAAAAAATTTTTTTTAATGCTATTTAAAAACCACCTACCTTTGGCTGAGCTCTCCTCACAGCTGAGTCTGAGCGCTGGATGACAGGCCCATTGGCATCGTGGAGGTCAAGGCGTAGGGTTGGGGTTGGTGGCCCTCCAAAGCCCTCCCTGCTGACTCTCTTTCCCCTTCCAGGCCCAGCGCTGCAGTGGGCGTCATGGCCATGGACGTGGCAGAATACCACCTGAGCGGTGAGTCCCAGTGGAAGCATGCCATCTCACGGGGCTCCCCGACCAGGCCTAGGGCAGGGGGTGTCAGTGGGACGTCAGTAATGGCCCTATTTTACCAGTAAGGACAGTGACTTGCCCGAGGCCACACAACCTTGGGGACACGGGGCGGGGACCAGTCTAAGGTCTCGTCATCCTTCTGTGCCAATGGCTCCTTCCTGTGGAACCACCTCCCTACATTTGACTGGAGGAGTCCCCCAGGAGGCCCATGTCCCGTGCTCCCTAAGGAGAAACTGAGATGCAGAATCCGCTCCCCCAGGGCCATTCCTAGAGCCTGTTGAGTAGCCAAGTGAGAAGAAACCCAAGAAGGTTGATGTTAGAGCCACAGGACAATAAGCTCAGAGGTGGCCCAGTCCAGGGATGGCAAATACCTGAGATGCAGCCCCGACCTTCCTGTGTGTGCCCCAGTGGGTGCTGAGCTTGGGAACTGCCTCGAGATAGCAGCCGCTCTCCCGCTGATAGTGGGTGGTGTCAGAGCTGAGACATACTTGCCATGTTTTCTCGTGGGTTCCCCTCTCCATTTATAGATGGGAGAAGGGAGGCTCAGTGCAGGACACAAACCCAGGTCTTCTGACTCCCAGGCCAGTGCTCCCCAACACTCTAGCTGCTCCCCTGCCTCAGCCCCCTACCAGCCCAGAGCTGAGCTGAAGCGTAGACCAGGGACCACACTTTCACCTACAGGCTCCCAGGCCTTGGCCCAGGCCCTGGCATGGCCTTGGGCAAATGATGAAACCTCTCTGAGCCTCCACTTACTCATCTGTAAAACGGGGGGCAGTGAGGCCTGCCTCAAGGACTGCTGGGAGGACTCGGTGACCTAACTTACACAAAGTGCCCAACCCAGCGCGAACACGACTCTCTCGCAAAGCAGGCCTTTGCACATGCCCTCCTTCCCTTTGCCCGGAGCACTTCCCGGCCTCTGCCTGGCTAAGCTCCCGGGACTGTGCGGGGGTCACAGGTGCAGATCTGGAGCCAGACTGTCAGGCAGCGAATATCTCCTCTGTCCCTCAGCTTCCTCATCTAGGCAATAAGGGTAATAATAGAACCTTCCTCACAGGGTTGTTCCGGGGTCTCCGTGGGTTAATATGCAATGAAGCGCTGGACAGGGCCTGGCGAAGAGTAAACAGTAAAGGAAGCTATTATTACCTCCACGCCACTCGGCCGCCTCCACCTCCTCCTCATTTCTGGTCTCAGCCGAGGCCTCACTTCCCTTGGGAATTCTTCCCATACCACCCCGAGGCTGTAGTCAATAAAAGGAATAAATAAATGAGCATTAACAGTCATCATCTCGTGTCACCTTCCTGGGGCTTTTCCTTTCAATGCCCCCCTTTCCCAGCCAAGCAGGATGCAGGCTGCACTCCCTCAGGCCCTCCCTCCCCCCAGATCCTCTCTTTCAGGGGAGCCTGGCTCCACTGTGCCGGGTCACCTTGACCGTTACCTGCTAGGACCTCAGAACTCAAGGCCCCCCTGCTTCCCTGCCCCTGGGACCACCCAGGCCCTGCCGGGAGCCACCTGAGGTTCACATGGACATCTCACTCTCCAGTTTACCAGGCCATCCGTTATTCATCAGACGCCGAGAACTTTCGTGCCTCGGCAGGGCTCGCCTGGGGCCCTCCGGAGATCTCTGTTGTGGTTTGGGTTAGCCCACAAATTACATTCTGTCGAGAAGTCAGGAGTAAACAGGGCTTGCTCACAGCCCCTCCATCCTGATTTCTAGCTTCTCTCATTTGTCCCTGGTCCCCACCCAGCCTTTATCCATAGGTCCTGTGATTTTTATGTCAAAATTGTGTGGTTAGACCGTGTCATGGATTGATTTTTTTTTTTTTCTTTTAACAATGCTGGAAACGTTTTCCTGCTCTGCCACAGTGACATCCTAATGACCTCGGTTCTCAAAGGCCAGTGATATTCCCTCCCAAGGCAGCACCACCAGCCCCCACTGGCCCCTCAGCTGGACCTTCAGGCTGTTTCCACATTTCTGCTGTTATAAATACAGTCTCGATGACTCACAGCAGACATAAAATTTGCTGGGATTTCTTCCGCAAGATAAATTCCCCAGGGCGGGACCGCTGCTTGGGGTGCGTGGTCATCTCCACTCTCCAGATGAGGACGCTCAAGTTCAGAGTGGCTAGGTGGCTTGCCCAAGGAGCCAGGGCACCCGCGGCCAGGCTCTGCATTTCTTACCCTGTGGCCTTGGGCCAATGGCTGGGTGTGCTCACTAGCCTCTCCCAGCCCCGGCTGTCCTACTCTAGCAAGTGGAGGGAGAGACCTCATAGGGTGCTACATGCTGGATACGGGCCAAGGCTGCAGGCCGGGCCCTGCCCTTCTGCCCTGCCCCTAACCTACAATGAGTTAGCATTGTGGATTCTGACTGGAGTTGGCTGGGCTCCGGGGAACGGGCAGGGTGAGGCCTCCCACTCCCAGAGGGGCTGCCACTGCTTCCTGATACCTTTGCAGCTGGGCTTCAGGGGCATGGTGACAGAGAGCTCCCCAGCCCCAAATGCCCCACTCTCTCTCCCCCACTGGACACTGAATGCTCTGGGCTCTGTACATCCCCTCCTCTGCTCGCCCTGAACTCCCAGTCCCTGGTGCCTTGGCCTGGTACATTTCTTGCTCCTCCTTCGTATCTCAGTTCAGATGCCCCTCCTCCAGGAAGCCCGCCTGGGCTGTTCTCGTCACTCTGTTTTGTGTATTTATTTGCCTACCTACCTCATCCCTAGACTGTGAGCTGCTTAAGGACGGGGCCTGGGGCTGGGGCTGACTCCCTCACCAGGGTGCTTGCACACCATAGATGTTCAGTGGATGTGCAGTCGTCAGTCTTCACCCCTGAAATGCCCTCCCCACCTCTTTCTACCCTGCATAGTCTGGGGACTGTGCTGGGTTGAGGCTGGGTGGGGCAGTGGTTACTCCGGCCTGGTCTGAAGTCTGGCTGCCACAGCTGGCCTCCCAGTGCCATTCCTTCCTGCCTCTTTGACCTTGGGCTAAAGGTCATTTATTTTTGTAAATGTTTATCTTTGTGCATCCGTTTCCCTATTTGAATTGAGTATAGAGGCAGCACTGAGAATGGTTTTGAGAATTCTATTTGCCAACGGAAGGTCACTTCTGCTAGTGGGGGCTCACCCAACACACTTGAGGGGGCAGTTAATTACTATGTCTCGGGACAGTGAGACTCAGGGAAAGTTATTTACTTATCAATGAAGAAAGCACATTTGAGCATTTGGATTTGTCTCCAAGTCCTGCACAGCCTAAAAGCTACCTCTCTCTCACTTCTGGCTGAGATTTTTTTTTTTTTTTTTTTTTGGTAGCAGCTTTATTGAGATAAAATTCACAGACCATACAATTTACCCACTTCAGGCATACAATTCAGTGCACCTAACACCTTGTGTACTCATCAGCACTATTAACTTTTAGAATATATTCATCATCCTCCAAAGCAACCCTGTATTCTGTGTTGCCCTGCCCCAGTCCCCCCAGCCCCAGATAATCACTAATCAACTTTCTGTCTGTACAGATTTGTCTTGACATTTCAAATAAATAGAATCATACATGGGGCCCCTGGGTGGCTTAGTCGGTTAAGCGTTTGGCTTTGGCTCAGGTCATGATCTCGTGGTTCACGAGTTCGAGCCGCTCATTGGGTTCTGTGCTGACAGCTCAGAGCCTGGAGCCTGCTTTGGATTCTGTCTCCCTCTCTCTGTGCTCCTCCCCCATTCGCTCTCAGTCTCTCTCTCTCTCTCAAAAATAAAAACATTAAAAATAAATAAATAAACAAACAAACAAAAAATAAATAAATGGAATCATACAACATGTGGGTTTTTGTGATGCCTTTCACTTAGCATGATGTTTTCAAGGTTCAACCACATTGCAACGTGTATCAGTAGCTTTATGTTGCCAAATTATATTCCGTTGTGTGGATGGACTACATCTTGTCCATCTATCAGTTGCTGGACATTGGGTTCTTCTAAATGAGGGTAAAGCAAAAATGGGGTCATTTCTTTTCTCCCCAAACCCCTTCCCTCTTCCTCCAGACCCCAAAAGGCTGCTTTGATTATCTGGAAGGCTATGAGTTCAGAGACCTCAAAAGAAGCAAGAAGAACCCCATTTGTTTAAAGCCTAAGGAGCGTTTAACTGTTGTTCACAACTCTTCGTCTGGTTTGGCCATGTGTCCCCACCCCCATCCCACCCCTGGTAGGAATGGATGCTTCTGTGGAAAAGGGGATAGAAGCAGAAATCGCAAGGTACATATGTCTTATTCAACACTGGATCCCCTAGGACCTAGTACTGAGCCTGGCACACAGTAGTCACTCAGTAAATATTTGTTCAGTGAATAAATAAGTCAGTGCTGAACTGCCTGCTTCTTGGGTGGGAGTCTCTAACCACTGGGGGACCCCAGAGCCTACTAATGAGAGGCTGCCTTTCCCTTGCAGTCATCAAGAGCCCTCCAGGCTGGGAGGTGGGTGTCTACACCGCTGGGGCCCTGGCGCTGCTGGGAATTGCGGCCGTGAGCCTGTGGAAGCTCTGGACATCGGGGAGCTTCCCCAGCCCCTCCCCGTTCCCTAACTACGACTATAGGTACCTTCAGCAGAAGTATGGCGAGACCTACGCAGAGGCCAAGCAGAAGGTGAGGCTTCTATCCCGGGGGTGGCCTCCCCTCCCTCCCCGCTCCCTTGCTCTCTCCTGGTTAATTTCCTCCTGTGAACAGACACCCTGATCCTCCTCCACGTTTCCAACATAGCCCAGTGCTGTGAAATCAGTGAATACTCGGTGAGGGACTGAAAGTTTTCAATTTTAAAAACCATCCTGGGAAAAATACAGGAAAAAAACAAGCAAAACCCCTCCCCAAATGTCACCACCCAGTGGCAAATAACTGTTAACTGTATTTTAACTATTAACATTTGGATTTCTTTCTCTCCGGTATTTTTAATGTATCCTCCAGTCTTTTTTCCATGCATAGGGTTTTATACAACGGGTGTCATTTCTACACAGAATTTTATACCCTGCTCTTTCCATCTCCCAGCCGAAAGCATTTTCCCATAATGTTGAGCCCCCGTCATAAGTAGTATCTTAGCGTCAGATTCCTTTTTTATGTACGTGCCATGATTTACTAAATGCCATTGTAAATAATGCAGTGAATGTTGTATATGTAAAACTTTGTCTTCATTAGGGTTATGTACTTTGAATGGATGCCCAGATGTGGAATTACGTGTCAGGGACTACAAACACTTTTAGGGCTCTCAATATATACTGCTGAATGCTTCATCATTAGACACTTGGCAGAGAATTTTTCTAGTATCATATAGAGTTCCAGAGAGCACAGCCAGAATCTTTTACCAGATAGCAGCCCCACATGCTCATTCGTTTGGGGTGTGAAGCAGGACTATCTCCCGTGGGGGGCAGGGAGGGAGGAGGAGAGAGAGAGGCGGAGACTGTAAATTGGCACAACTTTCCCAAGGAGCATTTTGGCAACATGTGTCAGCAGCTTTCGCAAGGACTGTGTCCTCTGAGCTAGGATTTTAAGAAAGCTATTTGATTCTGCATTATTTATATTTGTGAAAAATTAGAAACAACATAAATGTCCAACAGTAGGGGGTCTGTAAGGTAATCACAGCTGTCCATTCAGGGACAAATTGGTGGCCCATTTTTAAGATGGTAGTAATGGGGGGCACCTGGGTGGCTCCGTCGGTTAAAAGTCTGATTTCACCTTAGGTCATGATCTCGCGGTTCGTGGGTTCGAGCCCTGCCTCGGGCTCTGTGATGACAGCTCAGAGCCTGGAGCCTGCAGCCTGCTTTGGAGTCTGTGTCTCCCTGTCTCTCTGCCCCTTCTCTGCTCACGCTCTGTCACTCTCTCTCAAAAATAAGTAAACGTTAAAAAACATTTTTTTTTTTTAATGATGGTAAAATGAGGGCTATGCAACAGCATGGGAGATGCTTGTGGCACAAAGACTTTTGTTTTCCCAAATCCCGAGGTCAACTTAGTGAAAGGAAAAATTTGAGTTTTAGGATGAGTGTTACCCAACACGAAAACCTTCTGTTGTGAACATTTTGGTAAGCATCCTTGGAGGCTGCTCAGTAATCTGTTGAGTAGCTATCGTCTAGTTATTCGTACCCGTTCCCCCTGCTAACTACTTTTCCTTTAAAATTTTTAAGCTTTTTGGGGCGCCTGGGTGGCGCAGTCGGTTAAGCGTCCGACTTCAGCCAGGTCACGATCTCGCGGTCCGTGAGTTCGAGCCCCGCATCGGGCTCTGGGCTGATGGCTCAGAGCCTGGAGCCTGTTTCCGATTCTGTGTCTCCCTCTCTCTCTGCCCCTCCCCCGTTCATGCTCTGTCTCTCTCTGTCCCAAAAATAAATAAACGTTGAAAAAAAAATTTTTTTTAATTTTTAAGGTTTTTGTTTATTTTTGAGAGAGAGAGACAGAGAGACAGAGTGTAAGTGGGGGAGGGGCAGAAAGAGAAGGAGACAGAATCCAAAGCGCTGTCAGCACAGAGCCCGACGCAGGACTCGAACTCACGAACTGTGAGATCATGACCGGAGCCAAAGCCAGACGCGTAACCGACTGAGCCACCCGGGCGCCCTACTACTTTTCCTTCTTACAAACGTCACTGCAGTGAACATCTTTGTGCGTGGAACTCCGTCCATATCACGAAGCGTCTTGAGAAAAAGCTTTCTTTCCTCGGGGTTCGGGAGAGAAAGGTGAGTGATGTGAAATGGCATTAAACAAAGACCTTCCTGACTAGGGCAGGCACCGTTTCTGCACACAGGGAACGGAGGTGCCTTGAATGAACAGGGCTTACGAGACCAACCAACAGCCTGTTGCATCTGCCATGCTCCCACGTCCCGTTTTCTCTCCCCCAGAGAGTGCCTGCCTGGAATGCCCAGCGGGCCAGCACTCGGGGACCGCCCAGTCGCAAAGGCAGCCTCAGCATCGAGGACACGTTTGAGAGCATCAGCGAGCTGGGGCCCCTGGAGCTGATGGGCCGGGAGCTGGACCTGGCCCCCTACGGGACCCTCCGCAAGTCCCAGTCGGCCGACTCCCTGAACTCCATCTCCTCCGTGAGCAACACCTTCGGGCAGGACTTCACGCTGGGCCAGGTGGAAGTAAGCATGGACTACGATGCCGCCTCCCACACCCTCCACGTGGCCGTGCTGCAGGGCAAGGACCTCCTGGAGCGCGAAGAAGCCGGTTTCGAGTCCTGCTTCATGCGCGTCAGCCTGCTGCCCGATGAGCAGATCGTGGGCATTTCCCGGGTGAGTGGGGGCAGGGGAGGCACGCGCGGGGCTCTCGGGGAGCCCTCCCCAGGCCGCCAGGCCCGCGGGGCCGGGCCGGATGTGAGGAGGGTGCTATGCGGCAGCTCTGGGTGCTAATCCCAGAGCCGGAGGTGTCACCAGCCTGACGACTCCCGCCGTGCGCGGTTCTCGGCAATCCTACCACGTATATCCAGTGGGTGGCAAGTGTCCGTTCCCATGCCTGTCCCCCGGGTCGGCTTGGGGTCCGGGTGGGAAAGGGGTGACATGTTCAAGTTGGCTAATTTGGGGACAGCTTAATGACAGGACTGTTAACAGTGGTGTGGGGCGGCCTCAGTGATGGAGCGGCACCCTCGTCTGAAGGGGCGACGGGAAGGGGAGGCCAAAGGGGAGAGGCGCGTGGCGGGGCTGCCACATTGATAGGCGCTGTGCCCTTTGGTCAGGGGACATGCTCAGACCACAGCAGTACCGCAGGGAAGGACCTAGGGAAAGAGCACCCCCAGCTCCCTGGGTCCTCTGGTTTCCCTGGAGTGACCCCCATTGTCCGACCCCAGACCCCACCAGAAGCCAGAGGCCGAAGGAGCCTGTTGATCAGCCCATGGAGGTCAGCTCCTGGGGGTGGGAACAGGGTGGGGAAGGCACCCAGCACCCTGCCCCACCAGGCTACCCCTCCATGGGTCCCTCTGTCTCGCCAAGAGAGGGAGCAAAGCCTTCATGAGACACGTTCTACTCCAGGCTGGATTAGGGGGAGCAGGGGCCCAGATGCCACGGTTGGGAGTCCTCTGAGGTGGGTAAGGTCGACACCCAGTGGCCTCTAACCAAAGCAGGTGGAGCCTGAGGGTCTGTAGGACCTAGTGCTTTCTGAAGAGTCACCTGTGTCCAGTCACTCTACGGTGTTGAAGCGGGCTGTCCCTCGGGGGTGGACACCATCATCCCTCTCCCAGCCCACCCTGCCTCCCTCACCCCAGGATGGTCAACAACTGACCACAACCCTGTGCGTGTGGGGCCCAAGAGAGGCAGTTGGTGAGTGGTAAGGAGCAGGACCCTAAAACCTCACCCTCTGGGTTGAAATATCAGTGTCCCACTTCCTAGTAGCGTGACCTTGGATAAGTCCATGAGCTCTCTGCGACCCAGCTTCCCCATCTATCATATGAGCAACATAATTCTTGAGGAAGGGGTGTGCTACTACATGCAAAGTCCTCAGCCCAGTCCCTGGGAAGTGATCAACAGATTGTGTATCAGGACCATGAAGTGTCCCTGTTGAGCCTGGATCCACGCTGCCTATGGCCTGGACTGCCTAGAAGATCCTGGGTGGTTCTGGACACCTTCCGTGAGAAGGGACATTAGCAGACAGGAGCCACCACAGCCTGATGTGTGCTGAGAGTCTGGTTCACAGAGCCCACCCATCCGTGATTCTCTCATTAGCCCCAGTGGGATGGACCGAGGGCATCTTACAGATGAGGAAACAGGTTCAGGAGAGTGCTTTGCCCAACACATCCCCAGGACCTGGCCCGGGGGTTCCCATTTCCCGTCAGCTGTGTGCTCATAAAACATAACACACAGAGAATGGATAGTTCGGGAACCCGAGCCCCTGTGGACAAGGGACAGCAAAGTGACTCATGTGGCAGGAGGAGGGAGAGATGGGGCCAGATCATGAAAAGCCTAAATGCCAACGTCAAGATAAGGAGGTAGACTTAATCCCACAGGGGAAGGAGCCCTTGAAGGTCCTCAATCAGGCAATCGGGTGGGGAACGTGGCTCCCAGGGAGCCGTGGAAGAGGAACCTTCCCACGAGCCAGGCAGTGACCAGAGTGTGCTTCAGTGCGCCTGGAGGTGCTGGCAGATTCATTCCCAGGAAGGCAGGCTTCTCAGCATCCTAGCCCCGCTAGTCCCAGCAAGTAGGTGGCTGCCCCCAGGCTGGGCAGCCCCCCAGCCTCAGGTGAAGTGCCAGAGATGAGAGCTCCTCTCTAAATATTGCCAGGCAGTGACTAAGGCAACCCCCGATGGGAAAGGGGAGGTGTCCCACCAGGACACCTTCCCGGGGGGTCTGCCCACAGCTTCCTGGGAGGAGGCCAGAGGCACCCACCAGGCAGGACGGGGCTTGGAAGTGGAGTCTTCCCAGCCTCGCCCGATCACTCCATCCGTCCATCCATCCCACAACATTCAGACCATCCTGGGCCAGGCTCTGCGGGGGCCGGGACATCAGCGGCTCTCGACTCCACAATTACCTGTACTTACTGCACGCCTGGCCCAAGGCTGGACCTGAACACACACGACAAAGAGGAGACCAGTCTCTCCTGGGCATCGCGAGGGTTCTGTGGAGCCGTGCGCACTGAGGGTGGGAATTAGTTGGTGTCAGAGTGTGGAAGCTTCCAATGCCAGGCCGCCACTGAGAGGAGGACAGGGGGCTTTTAAATCCTCAGGGCTGGGGTAGCCGGCTGGCTCAGTCAGCAGAGCACTCGACTCTTAAATCTCAGGGCTGGGGGTTTAAGGCCCACGTCGGGTGTGGAGCCTACTTAAAAGAAATGAAAAATTCAAAAAAAAAAAAAAAAAAAAACATCCCCAAGGCTGAGCCACCAAAGAAAGAATTGGCATGGAGGTCGTGGGACAGCAGAGCCAGGACTCGAGCCCAGGCCTCCAGACTCTCTGTCCGGTGCTCTCTCCCCACCATGGCCTCACGGGCGTCTGGCTGCCACCTCCTCCCCAGAGCTGAAGCTCCCTCCACGTCCCTTTCTCTGTGCAGATCCAGAGGAATGCCTACTCCATCTTCTTTGACGAGAAGTTCTCCATTCCCCTGGACCCTGCGGCCCTGGAGGAGAAGAGCCTGCGGTTTTCCGTGTTTGGCATCGATGAGGACGAGCGGAACATCAGCACGGGCGTGGTGGAGCTGAAGCTTTCTGTGCTCGACCTCCCGCTACAGCCCTTCAGCGGCTGGCTCTACCTACAGGACCAGAACAAGGTCAGTCCACCCGTGAAGAGAGCGTCACACGCACCCGTCTCCGAGCGGGGAGTCCACTGTCCTCCACGACAGCCCGAGCCCTGACTTCTTTAGGAAATGACAGAGAGAGAGGCCTGAGCCACATTCACAGAAACTGTTTACTGCATGAAGCAAAAATGCCCTAATTACTGTTTACCACTCTTCTGTCGTTGCTATTTAAGCAAATGATTATACGAACCCCAGTCCACTTGGACCTCTGTGTGCTACTACTACAGAATGTTTTCCCTGGGCTGGAATGAGGGACTGCATCTGGTTGCTACAGGCAACCTCTGGTCCTCCTTCCAAGGCAGGACCCAGGCCTGGTGGGACGGAGGGCTGGCGCATGCCTCGTGGAGCGGGAAGTGGGGTCCCTTTCTCAATCCCACCAGCCTGGTGCCTCATGTAAGGGCAAGAGTAAAAACTTCTCAGTGGAGAAGGGAGTTCCTGCCTTTCCCTGGACCTCTCAAGTCCTCAGGGGGGCCTCGGAAGCCCTCTGAGCCAGTCACCTGTCCTCCAGGCTGCCGACGCTGTGGGCGAGATCTTGCTGTCCCTCAGCTACCTCCCTACGGCTGAGCGCCTCACTGTGGTGGTGGTGAAGGCCAAGAATCTCATCTGGACCAACGACAAGACCACGGCAGGTGAGGCCCTGCTGGCTGGCTGGCTCCTTCATGTGGCTGGTGGGAGCTGTGACCCAGCTGCTAGGCCAAGGGCAGCGGGAGGCGTCAGCAGGTGTGGGGCATCGTACCAGGCCCCTCCACCCCCAGCTTTGGCCGAGCTCAGGAGCCAGGAGCTCAGGAGTTCGGGATGGTGGGGGAGATGGGAGTCTGAGAGCAGGTGCCTGGGGTGCTGGGAAGAAACCACGGTAGACAGACACCCGCTTCCCAGGACTAGAATTCATGACAGAAGCTCCACTCCCAGAAATTGGACTGTATCCCAGATCCCACATGGGGGCCAGGGCCACCAGGATGGTGTGGGTGCCAGGCAGGACCTGATGCCCCTAGTCTACAGGAGCAGAACTAGAAACCAAGGGCTGGGGGAACGACCTAGCGGGAGCCTCGGGGGATCCACGGTCCAGGCAGGTACAGCAAGGACACCCAGTGCGGGGAGGGTGACAAGTAGAGAGGGCCTCATTATTTCAGAGTCGGGCTCCACTGAGCGGGCGCAGGGTGACTCAGGCCTGACGTCTGTGCTCATTATAGAATGAGAAGCAGTGGGTCCTTCCCACTCCCCAGAGCGTCACGTGAAGGGAGCACTTGTGTGGGCCGGGAGGCAGGCTGCCTGAGCCCAGGGCCCAGCTCTTCTCCCGACTCGTGTAGGAGCCTCAGTTTTCTCATCTGTAAAATAGGAAAGAAATAAAGGCCCAATGGCAGGACTGTAGGAGATAATGGCAACAGAGAAGGCTCGGGGCACTTGGAGCCAGCGGGCTGCGAGGACCAGGCAGAGCTGTGCCAAGTGGATGTGGCCTTGGCCCTGACCCCCACCCCTTGCTCACCCACAGACCCCTTCGTCAAAGTGTACCTGCTTCAGGATGGGAGGAAGATGAGCAAAAAGAAGACAGCCGTGAAGAGGGATGACCCCAACCCAGTGTTCAACGAAGCCATGATCTTCTCGGTGCCAGCCATCGTGCTCCAGGTGAGGGGGGATGGCTCAGGGGTGGAGGCCAGGCCAGGTGGCTCCTGGGCTCTGGGGCCACTCCAGGCCCTCGGCCTAGCTTCTTAGGGTTCCTGCAGGTGGCGCTGGTTTGTCTCAAGCCCTCCCCTTTCTAGTTGAGAGGCATTTATGGAGCACCCACTAGGTAGTAGCCCTGTGGTCAGTGCTGGGACACAGGCACTGCTTCCTTGTTGCTCACAAGGGGAAGGTGGAAAATCCCCAGACAATCCTTTTTTTGAGAGAGAGAGGGGGGGGGCACAAGTGAACAAGGGCAGATAGAGGGAGACAGAGAGAATCCCATGAGGGGCAGAGAGAGAGAGAGGGAAGCAGGGCTCACCCGAAGAGGGGCTCGTACTCACCTGATGCAGGACTCGAACTCACAAACCAGGAGATCATGACCTGAGCTGAAGTCAGATGCTTAACTGACTGAGCCACCCAGGCGCCTCTCCAGACAATCCTAATCCACTAAGCACATGCCAGACTTTGGCGGCCCGGGGAGGCTTTTACGAGAGGGGTTGGCTAAGCCGAGATCTGGGGGAAGCCGGTTCCCGGTGGAAGGAGCTGCAAAGGCCTGGAGATGAGCCAGGGGAGCCCAAGGGCCCACAGTTCTGGCCCAAAGTCTCTGGAGACTCTACCTGCAGAGATCCTGCCGAGCTCCCCACACCTCCATGGCTTTCAGAAGGTCATGGGCCCCAGGGAGACCCCTCTCCTGGCACAGATATCACAGACCAAGGGTGGGGGATTACAGAGGATATGGCCTGTGCCACACCGGTGGCCCTGCTTGCATGCCTCAGAGGATGGGGAGCTTACCACCTCCCCTCACTACCTCCTTCCATGCTGGGGCATTCCTGCCAGTGATAACGTCCTTTTGTGCCCTGAGCCAAAACCTGCCCCTGAGTCACGGGGCTGTACAGAACCCACCTAATCTGACACCCCATCTGAATTTGAAAGCCCAGAACTCTGCCTTACTCTGGAAGCTCCTAATCCAGGCAAACATCCCAGTGTCTGGAGTTGGTGCTGGGTGTCCTTGCCTTGTCCTGCCACCCTCGTGGGACAGACTGTCCATCTGTCCCCTACTTCCCTCGGAGCGGCTATAGCGCCGCTCGTCCACAGCCTCCGAGGGTGGGAGACCTCTTCGGGCCAGGGTGGCGGTGGAGGAAGAGGGAGAGCGGGGGTGAGGAGAAGAGAGAGAGGGTCAGTCTGGGTTCGGGTTTCAACCTCTCCACTTCGATCTCAAGCACATTCTTTTCCTTCCTCAGCTGTGAGTCCAACATGTGATCATATTAGGAATAACCAGACATCTGAGATGCTCTGTGTACAGGCACTATTCTAAGCAGTCGACACATTTTAACTCATTTTGTTCCCGGTACAGGTAGGAACTATGATTATTACCATCCTCCAGATGGGAGGCTAAGTAGGAAGAACCCAAGGTCACACAGCAAGGGAGGTGGTGAGGCCAGCATCTGAACCTGGTAGTCCAGAGCTGCCACTGTGTCGGGAGGCAGCAGCAGAAGCCTGTGGGCATAGGCAGATCAGGGGTGCAGATTCAGGGAACCACTCCTGGCAGCCCGCTGGGGCCTGGCACCTGTAGACAGGGTCCTGGGAGCCACGGAGGGCCTCCGGCACTGCCCCCGGTCCCCAGCACCCATGTCACTTCCTCCCTAGGACCTGTCTCTCCGTGTGACGGTGGCTGAGAGTAGCAGCGATGGCCGAGGGGACAACGTGGGCCATGTCATCATCGGGCCGTCAGCCAGTGGCATGGGCACCACGCACTGGAACCAGATGCTGGCCACGCTGCGCAGGCCCGTGTCCATGTGGCACCCTGTGCGGCGAAACTAGCAGCTGGAAAACGGGCCAGGGTGGGCACTGAGCTGCCTGGGGCCCGGCGCAAGCTCCGCTCTGATGCCCCTCCATAGTCCAGCAGGAGCCATAAATGCTGGGGTCCCCCACTGGAGCCCCCATGAGCCATCTTGGTCCGTCTGTCCAGACTGCAGTGGAGGAACAGGCCTGGCCAGGTGTCTAGGGACCCAGGATTTTCTCCCACTGAGGACCAGCTGTGGCTGGGCTGTGACCCAGGAACAGGCAGCCTGGCACTGGCCCTTTGTGCCCCCATTTTGAGATCCCCAACAGGCTGCTGGGAGGCCAGTGCCAAGCTCGGCCACATGTAGGAACCGAGTGAGTCTTGGGGGCCAGGTGCTGTGCTAGGCACCAGCAGTTGTGACATGAACAGGACACAGCCCCTAGCATGTCCGGAGGGCAAGACCCCTGCCCTGGGGATCTGCTCAGTGCTGAATGTGGACTTGGGAGGGCTCTGGGGTCTGCTAGGACGAGATGGGAGCCGAGCCCTGAGGGGCAGGGAAGGAACTAAATGTGTCCCAGGCAGGCAGCCAGCCTCGGCAAGGCAGGGACATGAACTTCCGTATCACAAACTGTCCTACTGCAGTGGACACGAGGGCCTTTCTCTGCGCAAGAGAAGTGACCAGGAGACCAGGCCAAGCAGAGGCCTGCAGGGTGCGGCAAACACTGGCTCTGGAATCACGCTCTGTGAAATCTGCTCCCTTGAACCGTGACCCTTGCAAAGCCCAGAGGTCTGAAGAGGCCCAGAGCCAGGTCCTTGTGTTCGGTCCCAACTGAATTAGGCATTGGCTCCACGGCGTTTGTTGGGGTACCTCCAGGCTAGGCCCTGTTGGGAAGAGAGATGCCTCGGCCTCTAGGGAGCTGGAGGGCAGTGGGAGGGCCAGAATATAGACTGCAGGGGGCCCATGGGAGAGGCTTTTGTGGGCTGCCCGTGCGTGGTGTAGCAGGAGGCCCTCGAGCTGGGCCTTGGAGGAAAGGGGCTGCCTGAGCTGGGGCATTGAGGGGAAGTGGAGGGGTGTCCGGATGGAGGGTGGGGTGGGGGCAGGTTTGAATGCCAGACGGGGAAGGAGGTGGCACTGGGTGTCCTAGGTCGAGTTCCAAAAGCAGACCCTGAGATTCTCAGGCGAGGGGTTTATGCAGGGTGGGGGTGGGGGGGAGGCAGGGAGCCCTCTGGAGAAAACCGTAGGGGAGAGAGGAAAGCCAGGGAGCAGGGACAGAAGCTAAGTAAGTTGTGGCTTTAGGAGTGTCTAGCTCCAGGCTGATGGCTTGAAGTCTGATGGAGGAGCTCTGTGACTGGCACCCCACAGGGGTCCTGCCCAGAAGCAAACGGGCTGGGCTGTTTTGCCCCCACAGGGCTTTGGCTACCACCCCACCCCAGCTGGAGGAAGAGCGCATACCTTCCAGATGTCGCCGGTTGAGGCGCCTCCCATCCGCCAAAGGCAGCCCCAGAGAAGCAGGCGGCCGAGGGGTGGGTGCCCCTGCTGGTTCATCAGGATGGGGTGGGGAGCGGGGCGTGTTGTGGCATCTGCTCCCAGGGGCCACCCTCAGGTCAGGACATGGGCCCTCCGGCTGGCTGCCTCTGGTCCTGATGAGCTAGAGAGACCCAGGCCCAACCAGTTATCTCCAGTGATGCTGCGGGAGCCCAGGGTGGTCATGGGCTGGAGGCAGAACTGTGGCTCTCCCCACCTAACACAGCTGTGGCCCAGGCCTGTGGCCCATACCAGGAGGTCTGCACGGCCCAGGCCAGCACAGGGTCCGGGGACACAGCTGGTGAGCCTCTGGAGCCGGGGAGACGCCAGACTCTTTTCTGCCCCAGTGGCTCCGCGGCATAGGCCATTTACTCCCACCTTCTCTTCCCCCTCTTTCTGTCCCTCTGACTGCATGAAATGTTGACTGTGTACCCGAGATGGGCATGGTGGGGACCAAGTCTGCTGACTGGAATGATTCTAGAACCAAAATAAAGCTGGGGCAGGAAGGAGGGGGCTTCCAGGGAGCCTTGCTCAGCCCCAAATCACCTTCGTCTCTTCTCCAGGAATCAGGGACTCATGTGGGTTACTCTGAGTAGATTACCCTGCTGCTGGGTGCCCAGAGGGAAAGGAGACCACCACAGGGACCAATGCCATCAGACTGCTTGGGAAGCTCTAAGAGGGGGGACCCTGAGTCAGGTCTGGCGGGGAGGACAGCGTTAGGGAATATCACGGAGGGCTTCCTGGTGGTATCGCTGAGTTGTCTTCAGGGCAAAAAGAAGTGTAAGGTTGAAAAAGGTGGATAAGGCCTAAAAAGCATTCCTGGAAGAGAGAACAACATGCACAAAAGGGCAGGAGTGGGCAAAAACTTGGCCAATTTGTCAGCCTTGCTAGAGCAAAGTTGGGGGAGGCTGGGGAGAAGGGAGCCAGAAGAAAGGCTGAGAGGGGAGGAGGGTCGTGCAAGTTCAGTGCGTGCTGGTACCAGCCACAACCCTACCTACTTGGAGGTACCGTTGCACTGTGGTCATCCCCTTTTTTGCAGAGATGGAAACCGAAGCTCAGAGAAGTTAGGCAACTAGTCCAAGATCACACAGCCAGAAAGTCTCAGAGCAGGCATTCAAGCTCCAGCTGTCTGGCTCCACAGCTCAGGCTCTTAACCATCAAGCTACACTGTCCCCCTTTCGCCAAGTCTTCCAGGTGGGGCTGAGGGGCAGCGGAGAAGCCCCTGTGGATCCCAGGCTGCTCTGGTTTCCCCCTCCCCTGCCCTGGAAGATCACAGCAAGTGCTGGAGGATGATCTGGGTGGGGATGACCAGCCGCCCCCAGGAAGCCTGTGAAGAGCTCTCGTGGACTCCCCCTCTTGCTGGAGGAGATGAAAGCATGAGCCTTGCAGTGTAGGGAGGACTGTGCACCTGGTGGAGGAGAGAGGGACCCCCCAGGCAGGGGAACTACTTGGTGTTGCATGTGTCCGGGGAGCCACACAGCCACTGGGCCCGGTCAGAGGAGCAGGTCAGAGGGAGGGAGGAAGAGGCTTCTGAGCGGCTTTGGAAGTGATGCGCAGGGACACCGGCGAGCGCTGCTCTTGGTCAGCGCGGGGCAGTCTGAGCTGCTTCTCAGTTTCAGGTTCATTCCGCACAGCCCAGAGTGCACTAGTGACCTCTCTTTCTGCCTATACCCCCCACCCCACCCATTCTTCCCCCTCCCAGCCCTAGGCCCGTGGGCCTGCCCCCAGTGTCCCAGGCCCCCTCCATCTGGGAGCCTTCAGGGATCAGCCGAGCCGCACCCAAAAGGACAGGTATGGAGGTCAGTGACCTGACCTCGGCAGCGGCTGGGCCACACCTGAGTGTGGAGGGGCAGGGCGAGCCACTGTATCATCCGCAGCCGACTGCCGCTCAGACCTTCACTTCCTCTCTCCTGCCCCGGTCATCTATGCCTGCAGACACCCAAAGGGACAAACAGAAAGGCTAAATAAACACTAAGATTGGGCCACGAGGGCCCCTCAGCCTCTGCCCACCCTCACCCATTATCAACCTCATTCCACCCAGAAGGATCGAGAATGGGGAGGCGGGGAGAGGAGGCAAGGGCAGGAGTCCTGCCTCCCCAGCCCTGAAGTCCAGTTAAATGGTAGCTGGAGTTGAGCTGATCTGGGGGAGACCAGACAGAAGGGACCTTGGGAGAAGAGGCACTTCTGGGTTCTACATGCCATAGTTTGGACAAGCCCCTTCCTGTTGAGAGCCTCAGTTTCCCTATCTTGTCCCCTTCTTAAGAAGAACTCTAGGGGCGCCTGGGTGGCGCAGTCGGTTAAGCGTCCGACTTCAGCCAGGTCACGATCTCGCGGTCCGTGAGTTCGAGCCCCGCGTCGGGCTCTGGGCTGATGGCTCAGAGCCTGGAGCCTGTTTCCGATTCTGTGTCTCCCTCTCTCTCTGCCCTTTCCCCGTTCATGCTCTGTCTCTCTCTGTCCCAAAAATAAATAAACGTTGAAAAAAAAATTTAAAAAAAGAAAAACTCTAAAGGCTCCCCACACCTCTGACTTTTGGGGATTCTGTGTGGAGGAGCTCTAAGGCCCCAAATGCCTTGGTTAGAATCTCAGCTTCTCCACGTATCAGCTGTGGGATCTTGGGCAAATTATCTGTCCTCTTTAGGCCTCAGTTTCCTCCTTTGTCGAAGGATAAGAATAATACATAATAGGATGGAATGAAATGTACACGTGCCAAGTGTATGTCACCCAGGAGATGCTCAGTAAACGTGCGGCCAGGGTTTTGGGTGAAAGAGTTCTGGCCACGGGCAAGACCTCTTGGGATCTGGTGTTTGAGATGAAAGGGAGGGGAGGGCACATAGGGAGACGGGAGGAGCAAAAATCCCACCAAGGCATCCCAAGGGTGCGTAACTGGACCTCTGAAGTTCCATGCACCACCGGCACCCACGTTCCCTCTCCTTCAACCACCCATACGCACCCCACGCCCCAAGGCAGGAACTCCAAGCAGAGCCCACAGCCCTCATGATGATGGTGCAGGGAGCAGAGCGGCCACATGGCGGCAGCAGAGACTCGGCTGGGGCCCCAGGGAACTCCTGGCCTCAGGGTGGATGGGGTGGGATGCCAGGTGGGCTTGAGCAGATGGAGGCTGGAGGGTGGTCACCTGTCTGCTGACCCTGCAGTCAGGTCATGCACTGTATTTACTCAACTATGCGATCATTTGTTCCTGTTTTCATTTCTCCAAGTTTGTCTATTCTTTTGAGTCAACCAATCTTCCTTCTTTCCTTCCTCTCCTCTCTGCCCCATTTTCCTTCCTTTCCCCTCTGTCCAACCAGGCAGTCAATTGGACATAACATCTTGAGCCACAGCTGGGCGCCAGCCTGGGGCAGGCACTGCTGTCTAGGGGTACAGAGGTTGGCCTTGGTCTCTGGCCTTTAGGTGCTCAAGGCTGGGGGCTGGAAGATCCTGCCTGGCCACCTGCATCCCCAGGAGAGGATTCCATGGCAGGCCGAGGGCCAGCCTGGCCACCTCTGATGTTCTGAGGTCTGCAAGGCAGTTGCCCACTGTGCAGAGTGGCAGAAGAGCTCTGGACTTGGGACTGGTGGGGTCTCAAGGGACAGAGACATCCACAGGCCTTCAAGGATAGCCCCCCCCCTCCCCCAGAAAACAGTAAACAGTACCCTGGCCAGGCAGACTGTGACCTGGGCCACCTCCAAAGTAAGCCCCAGTAAAATGGTGCTGTCCAGGGCCCAGCAATATCTGAGATTCAGGGAAATCCCTGGCCAACCAGAGCAGATTCCCCTTGCCCAGTAACTAAGCTCCCTCCTGCAGAAACATGAGCATAAAGTGGAGGTAAGGCTGGGGCTTCACATCAGGAGATCTGGGTTCAAATCCTGACTGTGTCTAGCTAGGGTGAGATAAGCCACTGCCTTTCTCTGAGCCTCAGTTCCCAAATCTGTAGAATGAAGAAAGCAGATCCCTTGTTCTGCCCACCTCACAGTCTGATGGCTGAATGAAATACTGCATACCAGGTATGATGTCGGGAGAGAGCCCTGCTGCGTGCCCAGACTCGGGTTCCAGTTCAAGTTCTACCTCTTACTAGCTGTGAATCTCAAACGGGAAGTGAACCTCTCTGGCCTCCAGGTTGCTCATCTGTAAAATGGGGCTAATGATTCCCACCTGCGAAGGGACAGTGCCTGCACAGGGTTAGCAATCCATTAATGGGCGCTGTTATTATTAGGAAGTGCTCAGTGAAACTGTAAGGCATGACAGACGTCAAGGATATCATTAGAATGATTATCCCTATAGCAACCAAGGCCAAACGCCTCTGCCTGACTCTCAGCTCCCTCCACCCCCAGTCTGGCCCCACCTGCCTCCTAGCCTTGCCACCCAAAGCCTGATGACAGCATCAGTGGGGATGACGAGGCTGACAGCTGATCCGTTGGGGGACTGGGCGCCTCCCAGCCACTCCTTGGGGCGGGGAGCCCTGCTCCGTAGCTACACACCCAGCTCAGCACCAAGTCACTGCTCAGCCCTTTGGCAGTTTCGGGGAGGAAAGGGCACCTAAAGGGTGGGGATTTCATGAGATGCTCTCTCTATCCAGGTGAGGCTCCATTCAACCTGCTGCCTGTGGCCCTGGGTGAGCTTGGAATAAGAGTCAGGGGTCTGGGCTCTACCTCTGTGCAATGAAGACAGTGACTCCTGCCCCAGCTGCCTCTTTGGTCCACAGTGAGGTCCAATGGGGGCTCAGTGTGCTTTTCCACCTGCCCAGTTTTGTACATCACAAGGGATGACGTCATGACCTGCGTGGGGAAGGGGGTGTGAAACTCAAAGACTTCTACCCTCTCTGTTCCTTTGAGCTTCACTGAAAACAGTCAGTCCAGACTCTGGGGAGACCCTTGTGCCCATTTTCAAAAGATTTCAATTCTGGCTGCTAACAGGGGTGGGCAGTCGGGGGACAGTGAGTTTTCATTTCAGTTCTGTATTTATTCCCAGCATCCAGAGTGCTCCACTATCCAGGCCCCATTTGAACCTCAGCTTCTCCTGACACCAGCTCCCCAGCCCGACCTCACCTTCCATCACAGGGAAGGACTACAAACCCCCCAAAGTGCCCCCTCTCTCTTGCCTCCATACTATGCATGTACCGCTCCCTCAGTTTGGAACACCTTTCTCCCTCCCCCTCAACACTCAGCCCCCTCTTCTCAGAAGGGTTTCCTGACCCCCACCCCACCTGGATAAGGAGCCCCTCTTCCCTGCTTCTGTCCTGCTGCCTGTCCCCATCTCTGTTGTAGCTCTAATCACACCGACATCCTCCCTGTCTCCCATCCTAGGCATGGGCTTCTCAGAATAGGGACTTCGTCTTGAACCGTTCAGGGTCCCCAGGCCCTTGGGCGTCAGTGGTGGTTAAATAATAGGGATCACTCACACATGGCACCAACCATGCACCAGACCCTGCTCCTCTAAGCAGTTTATAGATGGAAGGTTCCCTCACTTTCCTTAGATTATGCCACAGCCAAAGGTGAGACAGGTGGTCAGCCACCTGCATCGAAACTTCCTGGTGCTGGCTACTGCAGGGCAGGGCAGGCCAGCCTGGCAGCGCCAGCAACTGACCCATTAGGGCATGGCCGGGTCACCCCCTTCCCACCTGGCCTTCAATATCTGGAGGGAGGATTGTGGTGTGCTCTGATTCCAGAGCCCTGGGGGAAATGCACATTCATTCATTCATTCATTCATTCATCCAAAGTCACTGGCTCCTGTTCGGTGCCCCACCTGTGCTGGGCACCAGGGACCCAGCTCCTGTCCCTGCAAAGCTGGTAGGCCCACCGGGCTGACCCCCGCCCCCACCCCACCCTCGCCCCCCCCACCGCTTTCCTCCCAGGGGAAGGGGGCCAGGTGCCTTCGTCTTTCCCCGTCCACACCGCCCCCACACCCTGTCCAGCTCCTTGTCTTCTCCGCATCAGCCCCGGGTGCCCTCCCGAGGACGGAGGCAGAGCGTGGGGGAGGCCCCCTCCCGCGGCCCCGGCCCCCGGCCCCCGCCCTCAGCAGGGGCTGCAGAAGGGCGTCCCGAGGGGCCGGCGCGCCCGCTCGCCACGCCTCCGGGCTCTCACCTGGCCCCGCGCCCCGCCCCCCGGCCGCGGGCGCGCACTTCCTCCCGCCGCCCCGCCCCTTCCACATTC